CCTGTAGTCCCAGCTACTTGGGAGGCTGAGGCAAGAGAATTGCCTAAGCCCAGGAGTTGGAGGTTGCTGTGAGCTGTGACTCCACAGCACTCTACCAAGGGCAATAAAGTGAGACTCTCTCTAAAAAATAAAATAAAATACAAAAACAAAAAGAAATGCAAGTATAAAATCAAAGTAATTAAGAAAATGCCTATCTGATTTAATTTTAATTGAAAATATCAGTATAAACTCACTCAACTTTAAGAATACATGTTTTGGCTGGGCACAGTGGCACACATCTATAATCCTAGTATTTGGGGGAGCCTGAGGAGGGAGGTTTGCTTGAGGCCAGGAGTGCAAGACCAGCCTGAGCCAGAGCAGGACACTGTCTCTACAAAAAATTGAAAAATTAGCTGGGTGTAGTGGTGTGCACTATAGCCACTCAAGAGGCTGAATGCAAGAGGATTGCTTAAGCCCAGGAGTTTGAGGTTGCAGTGAGCTATGATGATGCCACTGAACTCTAGCCTAGGCAACAGAGTGAGATCCTCTCTCTGAAAATAAAATTAAATAAAATAATAAAATATATATTTCTAAAGTTTGTCCACTGAAAAAATAGAAGCAGCCACATCCATGTATCAGTGGGCATATCACGTACCCAAATTGTGGTCTCCAAGTACCTTCACCATTAATGGATACCAAGGCTGTTTGGAAGAATGGCTGATTTCAAGCCTGGAATAAGCCAAGAATTGACAAGATGAGCCTGGGATATTTTGTTGTGCCAAAGAGTAGAAACTAACAGATCATGTCAAAGGGAATCAGAAGCCAGCCTTAAGGCACTCCTGTCGGCAGAACTGTGGCAATTTGAGCAGAAAAATAAAACACGACGGTTGATCAAACTCATACTTAATAGATTTAAGAATGAATTCATATTGATATAAGAGAAACAAGACAAAAGAACAAAACACAACCCTCGTTGGACTTCATGGGAAGTAACAAGGACAAAATTTACCCTTTAAAAATTTGTATTTAAAAGGAAAGAATTGGGCATCTGTCATGTTCACACTGAATTTGCAGGTTACTAAATTAACCCTAGTAGATGAGAGAAAGTTCTTTGCAGAAGAATTCCTGCTAATTAATGTAGAAGTGCAACAAAATTAGAAAAAATTGACATACGGTGCAATCATCAGCGGATGAAACCCACATTGAAAAGTTAGCGGGGAATTTTATAATGCAGGGAGCAGGCTATTACCCCCAGAATCTACTGATCGACTAAAATGATTTAACCAGCATATCAGCTTTTGTTTATTGCAAACTGCTTCAAAACATACTTGCTTATCATTGTGATGGATGTGTGACTTAGTTCAATGTAAGCATTTCACATTGTATATCAAAGCAGTACCCTGGACCCCATAAATGCATCCGTGTACAAAGTTATGATTTAATAAAAATAATAATGGATCTGCTGGCAGTTTTTTCTGGTTTGTTGTTGCTTTGCTCTCTCTCTGGTCAGCTGGCAACGCATGAGATCTAGAGACTCTAGGACGCCCTCACTGACATGTCTCTCGGCTTGCAGGTTAGTTGGTCTAGGTGGCCTCCACTGGGACTATTTGTCTGTGCGCTGAGTTGTTTCTCATCCTCCAGTCGGCGAGCCCAGGCTTCTTCAGATGGAGTCTCAGCATTCTAAAAAGTAGCAAGAAAGGAAAAGCCTCGATGTACAAACACCTCTTGAACTTTACTTGCCAACAGATGTGCTGTTGTCCTTTGGACCAAATCATGGCATGCGGCCATGCCTAACG